AACTATATTAGCAAGTCTTTGACCCGATTGTGCATGGTCCTTTTAGGTTGCCTTCACCTTAGCAACTTGACAGGATGATTTATTATGAGAGAATAGATATTATTAATATATTATGAGAATAGTATAATGAATAATAATATTGTTATTTGATTAATATAAGTCATAGATTAATTAGTATTAATTTGGTGACTTAAAGAGATTAATTAAATAAGAGGGTATAAACTATCAACTGTTTGATAGTTACACTTTAGGCTGTAAATCCTTATTGGAAAGAGGGTGGATGATTTCTAGGGCTAGGATGAGCCTAAAATCATCCATGGCTTATCTTTGGTAAGGATTAGGATTACTTAGAGTCTAAGTTATCCAATTAGGGTTTAAGGGTGAAACCCTAGGAGCCTTACAAGTATAAATAGACCCTTTGGGATAGGGAAATCGAAACCTCCTTTACAGCAAGGATACCCTGGCTGATTTCCTCCTCTCTCCTCTCTCTCAAATCATTCTCTTTGCTAGTTGGTGTTTGTAAGCCATTAGAGGAGTGAGAATTGTGACTCTAAAGCTTCAAAAACAAGAAGATCAAACAAGTGTTTCGAGGTATGCTTCTAACTCTTGTTTTGTATTATTCTTATACCTAATTAGCCATTAGGAGTCTTGGATTCAATTCATGTTTAATTAGAGAAACCTTGATCCAAGCATTACGGTTTGTATGCGCACATAGGAATGTTCTTATGTACAAAACTCATCAGTGGTATCAGAGCATGGTTGGTTTCTATTAAATTTATGCTTAATTGTTTGAATGTTAACTGCAAAATTCGATTTTTGTGTATCTGAGTCATGGACTCGGCGAGTTGGCCTGACTCTGTGAGTCCAGTTTGGGTACTCGGTGAGTCCGAGCGTCAGGGAGAGCCAAAATCGGGATTTTTTCATATTTATCTTATGGAAACTTACCTTTATCATATTAGATCAACCCAAATCCGATTTTATGATATATATGACTATATTTTTGATCTAATTGAAGATATTTATCAATTAATAAAATATTTAATTTCCTTATATGATAATTATTAATTATTATGATTATATAGGTAAATTGATTTTCAAGAAATCATAAATAAATCAAATATGGATAATTATGTGATTAATTGTTAATTTGAATTATTTTTTATTTGATCCTTCATGTTTTAAATGTTTAAAACTTGCCCTGAATGTTTGACATTTATGTTTTGTGATTAAAAGTTTAATTTAGACAATTTAAATTTCAAACCCTAGAATTTTTACAAGTTTAAAATCCAACCCTATACTAATATAATATTGCAAGATTAATATCTATATATGTATAACTTAAATGCTAGTCTTACCATTAGTAGGCCTCATTCACGAAGCCGATCTATAAGGT